TGAAGGAAATTGAGGGAAAAAAGCTTGAAGAGATTAATTGGGGCAGAGGCAAGATTTCAGCCCAGGTTAATGACTCCAATACCTCTGTTCTTAACCTTTATTTACATGGTGGATACAATATGGGTTATGGCTTCTCAATTTTAATAGGACCTTTCAGTCTCTCCACCTCCTATCTTTTTCTTAACAGTCACATAATATATATTTTTTTAATCTTACTGAGATCTGGGACAAAGATAGCTAGTCTTATTATGATACTTCCCTGAGGTTACTGCTCTTTTTTGTGTTTTAAATGACGATATATCATAAAATCAGATATTGATTGGCAGAATGGTGGTTGCCAGTGGATGGGGGGAGGGAATAGGGGAGTTATTTATGGGTATAAAGTTACAGTTACACAAGACGATAAGTTCCAGAGATCTGAGGTACAACAAAGTACCAATAGTTAAGAATAAGATATCACGTGCTTAAAATTTCTTACCAAAACAAAAATGAAAACAAAGCAACACAAGGAAATTTTTGAAAGTGATGGATATATCTATTACCTTGATTTTGGTGATGGTATCACAGGGTATACAAATGTCCAAACTTACCAAATGATACGCATTAATTAGGTGCAGGGTTTTTTGTATGCCAACTATACCTCAATAAAGGAAAATTTATTAGCTGGCTACTTAATTAAAAAATCAACAAATGCATTGAGTGTATATATGTACAGGATACTATGCTAGCTGCTAAGGCAAAATAACAATGAGCTAGGGAAGCTTCTTTCCAGTTGCTTAGAAGTGAGGCGCCTCACGAACTAGAACACAAGCAGAAGGTTCAGAAGAGCTCATATCTTCATGGAAAGCATCTCCAAGTGCCACCTCAGGAATGAGAAGGCATTTGAGGTGGGCCCTGAAGACTGGACATGTAGAGAAAGAAAACGAAGTGCTACAAGCAGAGCATGGAGAGTGGAAGCCTTGGAGAGCATGAAGGGAGTCGTGTTTGGCTCAAGAGAGGGAAAGTAATAAGAGATGCAGCTGAAAAGGAGTTTCTAATAAGATCAGGAGGTCCATTAGTTAATGAGGGGAGCTGCTGGAAATGCAGTTCAGAGGCACAGAGATGATCGACATAGTGATGATCAACAAAGCCTGCTATAGTGCTAATCGACAAAGCTTAATGGCTGAATGCTAATAAAATTTAAAAACATTTAATGGGAAGAATGTATAGCATTTGGCAAGGACATGTTGGACGTGAACGAGGTCAAAGATGGTTTAAACTTTGAGTTTGGGAGGTATATAAAGGAAATACAGTGGGAGGAATGGGTATCGGGGGCAAGAGGATATTCTGGGGACATGTTAAGAAATAATAGCCAGGAACCATTTTAATAATTAAATGCACAAAAAGATGTTATCAATCTTCAAACTGTGCGTGAAGGCACAGGACACATGGACTATAAATGTGGGCCTAAAGCAGTAGTATGAAGAGCTCATTAAAACACAAATCACATGCAGCTCACCTCTGATCTATCTAAACCAACTGACTAGCTATTAAAGGCATTAGTTAAACATTTGATTAACATTTGGTTGTCTTTTAGAATTAATTTCAGCTTCTCTTCTCAACCCACCATAACCTGACTTCTGCTCCCAGCACTTAACTGAAATTGCATGGCAAAAGGTTATCAGTAATTTTCTCATTGCAAATCCAAAGTCATATTTATATAAAACTCAAATTGTTCTACGAAGTATATATTTTAAAAAGCAGTTTCCAACCCTTCATCTCCATATTTCCAATTTTCATTTCACAAAGGTAATTACTTTCAGCTCTTGTAGAGGTTTCTTCTGGGTGCATAATAGGATTATGCCTTCTATTTCTTCTTCTTTTTTTTTTTTTGGTTTTCTCATTGTGTTGGATATTTTCCATTTGGATCTACTCTCTACTCTCCTCCTTGCTCTGTTTAGAGAAACTCACCTGTATGAACCACATCAATGGGTTTATGAATGAGCCCTCTGGCTTCCAGTTGAGCTTGTTCTCCAGTTGGGAGAACCTGTAGAGAAGATGAGTGAGAGGAGAGAAAATATCAGAATGTTTATTCTCGTGACTTCCTCCTTGCCCATCTCCTCCAGCTCGCTGTGTCCTCAACTGGAGGCCGCTGCTGCTCTACTTGATTCTCATTCTAGATTGTGGTCCCCGTGCTCTCCACTTACCCCTTTGGGCCTAAGGTCGGTGACAGTGCAATTGCTACTAAGTCTTGAGTTACTGCACTATCTCTTGTGGCTCCCCACACCTTTGTAAACAGTTCCTTTGGAAATAAACCTTCCTAAAATTATCCCATACATAGTTGTCAGTATAGGTCTCTGCTTTATGAATAGTTCAAGTTCATTTGGTCTATCTCTTTCTATCTAAAGTAGCAACTCCATTTGTTCCATCTTTTTTATCTGTGTTCAACACATATCCATTTATGTGTAAAATGCCTCATAAGCAAATTGTGTCTATATTTTAGTTTCTCCTGTTTTCTAGAGCAGAATTGAATATTCACAAATCATGCAGCAAACTCGTTACAGCAAGCCACAACGAGCAAGCATTTATCAGATAAGGTTTGTGATGTCCCACTAATTGGCTAACGAAAGTCACATGGCCAAGCCCATAGTCAGTGCGGGACAGGTCTACACAAGGGAGTGGATACCATAAGGCATGATTCATTGAGACCACTACTGTAATAATCTACCACTAACACCTAGCTGGGAAATGGCTGATCTAGTTATCAGACTTTCAGCAATCTGTTTTTCGAGCCAACACACGAAACTAGTGTCCCAAAGGCTGTTGGGAATGGGTTCTTAGTGAGGAGCTTTTCCAAACATTACTTCCCAGGCCCTATCCCAGCCCAATGAGTCAGAATGTCTTGAGAGTAAGAGCTATGGGGGACAGACTGGTAGTAACCCCAAGAACTTGTGACTGAAATAACTGTAGAGAATTTCAACACACATTGGGGGGTACCGGGTTTTAAAGACAACAAAGACACAGTCTCCATAACTCAAAAGAACTTGCAGTTTCCACAGAGCACATTCTTGTCATTAATACATGAGAGGCATTGCCCGCCCCGCCCCGCCCCCCCAGTTGCTTTCCATGTTTAAGTTAGAGCAGTGGTTCTCAAACTTCGCGTGCATGGGTATGAAGTGGAGTGCTTGTTAAAACAGAGGACTGGGCCCAACTCCTAGCTTTTGATTCAGGTCTAGGTGGAGTACATAAATTTGCATGTCTAACAAGCTCTGCTGCTCAGGGACCATACTTGGAGAATCTTTGAATGAGAGCAGTAGGATTTAGTGATAACATTCCTCCCTTGACTCACATTTAAATATTGCACTTACAAGTTTATAGGACATCTGCTACTTAAAAGGTCTTGGGCTGGGTGCAGCAGCGGGTATAAGAATAGGATTTAGCTCTTGATTACACTTGAGCAGATTTAGTCTTTAAGCAGATCTATTCTCTAAAACAGAAAGCCTAAGTGTCATTAGACAAGTTCAGATGAAGCCGAGATCATCTGTCTTAGGAAGAGAGAAAGGAAAGCTTGGAGTAGGAGACTCTTCGGGCTGGGTCTTGAAAGAAGCCTAGGACCTGATCATGTGAAAATAGTGGAGAACTGCAGAATTCTTTCTGTTTTGGCATAGATAAGACAAACAAACCTTGAAAAACACCCGGAAAAGATCTTGCCTCCAGGGCTTCAGCATAACAATCTTCAAGCTGCTGGCATGGAGGAAGTGTTCTCAGTGTCAAGGGCTCAGTCTCAAACTCTTCTGGGGAAGGGGTAGAACTGGCCTCGCCCTCTCTTAGGAGGTCCCAGAGTGGGTGTATCAGAGATTGGAGTGTGTCTGGCCTAGGCCACGGTGGGCGCTGACTTGGCAAAAAGAGAGGCTCGGGCGCTTCAATCTCCAAAAGATTCTGCGAGATTCGGAGCAGTAGCGAGACTCTCCCGAGTGGCCTGACTGATATCCGCCTGGCCGGAGCCTGGCGAGGTGGATCAGTAAGCTGGAGCATCGTTCGGAAGAAGCCCCAGATTTAGGCGTGGCGCTAAGGCGGGTCGACTAATAGCTGCGTTACCCCGCGGGACGAGAGGTTCAAAGCTCTTGATATTCTCCTCGCTGGACCCAAAAGTGGCGGATGCCAGCACCACGGGTGCACGCCCTCTGCCTCCATTTCCACGCACTGGAGGGGGTGTGGACGCGTGTGCACGTTCCCCACCCTGGAGGGAGCGCAGCCGGGGGGCCTGCAGACTGCGCCTGCGCGGCGCCGCCGCCTCCCCGCCGCTTTCCTTCGCTCCGCCCTGCTACCCCTCGGACCGCCGCTAGGGGTAGCGGCGGCGGCTGCGGGCTGAGAGCGTGGCGGCTTTGAGGGCGCGGAAGCCAAACGGAGTGGGTACGAGGACAGGCAGGAGGGTGGGAAAGCCGGCGGGAGAAAAGGGCGGCGCTGGAGGAGGGCGGCGCGCGGCTGACTCATCCCGCTGAAGGAGCCGACTGACAGACACAAACCC